GACTGCATAGAATTACACAGCCATGTCATAACCAAGTAGTTTTCTTGGACCCACTTGRTATACATGGGGTCTCCCTTGGARGGTTCTTTCACATCTCCCAAGAGATACCCTAATTTACCCCTTCCCCCAATAGCCATCATGGCTGATTAGGCCCATTCCAAATAGTTTGATCCATCAAATCTTACGGTTGTAATCTGAAAACCTGTCTCAGAAACACCACCATAACTGTTGTTCCCAAAACTGTCTTCTGCCTGATTTTTAAACTCCATTTCGATCAAGAACCAGTAGTCTCAAAAATTAGGGTTACTACAGTCAAAGAACAACACTTGGACTATCAATCACAATCAAAAATCAGTATAGAACCAATCTGTATTCACGGTATATGTGCATGAAACAGGTATAAGTCTGATATGAAACCAATTAACAAACACAACAGCAATAGTCCGTACAGTTTTCACCCCTTAAAAGAGTTCGAAACCCCAAAAAAATCTGAAAATAGCTTGGAAAATAATCTGATATGCTGAAGCAGAATTAGGGTTTTAATCAGTCCTTAAAAAAAGAATTCTCAACCGCACATTCTAGGCAGTACCGTACAAATAAGACTAGTAGTAGGGTTAATATGAAACCCTAAAAATGCTGAGGAGAAAACTTAAGAAGAGCTTCACAGGTAGATCACAAGGCTCGGCCCAACATTAGGGTTTGCCGTAGGGTTAAGACAAAACCCTAGAGAATAGAAAGAAGAAAACCCTAGAGTGGTTCGGCCGCCCTTTCTAGATAGGTCCAACCTATCTTCTCTGATAGTACTTCTCTTAGAAAATAAAATAACTTACAAGAGAATGTTGTTCGCTGCCTTCCAAGGTTACCCGAACCCTAGCCTTCTCTAATTCTTCTTGATCACCAACACTCTGCAACCGTGTCAAGTCTTCAACAGCTGCTAAACCCTCTGGCGATCTCCAATAATCAGTCAACGAACTCTACTTTCTCAGCTTCCAGCCCTAGATGGTTCTCATGTGGTCGGCTGGACTARACTCACATGAGAAACCCTAGCTCTAATACCAAGTAGACGTTCAAGATTGCTATCAGCCTTGAACTCTAATAGATTTCAGGTTCGAAAATAGAAGAAAAAGTATAGAGAAGAGAGGAAAAAGAGAAGAGAGAGCAGTAGAACACAAGGGTTGAAAGGAGGGACAAAATCTTAAAGTTCTGCCGCCGCCACTATAACCAATCAAAGTATCTAACCCTTCTGATCTCCCACAGGTTCATGGAACGCTAAAGGAGGTAATTAATCTTAGTAGTTCTTAACAGTTAATTCATGGGCAATTGTTAACTATCCAGTTTGTTCCATATTTGAACTCACCCAACAATACCAGTCATAGATCCCATTCGGATGAGATATTGGACCACATGAATATGTGGTACTGGACTCTTGGAGAAAGATGAAACTAAGGCTTGTCATATTAATCTTTATGGGATGAATCTGGCTCCATTATATTTTTTTTCTTTTCGTAGAATGGAAATATGCAATGGTAGTTTAGGATGGATATTCAGTTCTTGCATCCATTTAATGAACAACATTTGAATCTTAAGAAAATGATAACTTGCCTGGGGATCATTCATACGTGCATAAGTGTGTCTAGGGCCACCCAAGCAAGCACCACAACCAGGACTTGCAGGTGCATCACAACCGGCTTCTTCAAATATCTGCGAGTATGCCTTGCCACCAGATCCTGGAACTGGGAGGCTATATATATCCATCCAAACCTAGCATACACACACGCACACAGTCGCGTGCACACACACACAGACATATAAAAGAAGTTTTAATAAATTAGAATACTATTCATACTACTTATAAAATTCTTAATTGAAATATAAATTCTTCTCCATGAGAATATGGTAGGAAAAAAGAAAACTTACTAACCTTTTGGGTGGCAGGTACAAGAAAAGTTGGTACTTTCACCTTTTTCCCCTGCATAAAGTTGAGAAAATGAACAAATGTTACATGAGCAATCACATGTGCCTGTGAGGGAATGAAGACCAATGGAACACCTTTAAATCAATGCACATTTGAAACTGGTCTCTAAATTAGTTTATGAAAAACATCCAGTTCTGCTGGTTCYAAGGTTCAACTGTGCGGTTAAAACTGGGAAACCAGACTGGGCCCCTTTCTGGTTTGATGCCCAGTCTGATTTACAAAACATTGCTTAAAACAAATTGTGTACTCAAAGCACAAAATATTGAGCATAATGTAAATTAAATTCAATATCATGTTGAATCAGTTTCTCTACACCCAAATTAAGAAATGAGACCAGGCTAACAAAACCTCATTCAACAAGTAGATAGATCCCTATTGACCCATGAATATCATATAGTCTAACTAAATTATTGAACTCATAATTATTTTCTATTAGTCAATACCCAACATCTAAGATGAGAAAAAGCATCCATGGATTTAAGTTGTGGAATTACATATGAAACTTTGGTTTTAGATCGATGCCCCTATACAGAAATGTAAATTATCTTGTCTATAATTATGGATCAAGTTTCAGAATCTTCCCTGCATTCCAAGGTTTTGTTCACTCCATTTCATCTTGAACTTTGAATTTAATATCAATGTTGGTAAAAACAAATTATATAGATAAGGAAAATCAGAAAATAATAAAATTGTCAAAAAAATGTGAAATTAAGATCTTTTCTTTGATCTTAGGTCTAAAAAGGTCAAATATTTCAAGATTTAAAATCATGAAATTGCCATATATGACAAATTTTAAAGGAACCAACACATCAACAATTAAAGGCAATAGAAAAACAGAAAGGGAGAAAGATGAATTTCACAACTTTACCATGGCTCCCATCTTGTTCCCCTGGTCTCCTTTACTATGTTTCCAATCCAGTCCCATAAGATGTGCAAACAGCTAGTAAAAACTGAAAATAATAAGCACAAATGGAGGGGGAAAAGGGGAAATTTCCATAGACACGGTCACACAAGCATGCAAAAATAGCTATTACGTTGCTTGATGTTAAAGACTTCATAAATAGTAATTGGTAGTCAAGAACAAAATCACTCTGTACTTTGATTCTCTACTTACCACTCAAATCATTAGTTGGGAAACTCACTAGAGACCTGAATCCCAAATTCTCACATTCCACTTCTAGACTTCCAACACATTGGTTTACTATATGAAGGAACAAATTGGGACAAGTTCCATCATATACACAAGTAATGATTGGAATTCAAATCATTAGTTGTGCATCCTCAAATTAATTGTGGATACCGATTGAAACTTTGTATGTTTTTTCTATATAAGATTATAACTACTCTCTTACAAACCTGATAGAAATACAATTATTTTGTTGTTAATTGTGAGCGCATTGTGCTGAAATATAAAAACTAAAATTTCACGCAAGATACAGTAGAAGTGATAGCAAAAAATAAGTGATAGGGAAAGGGAAAAAGAAAACAAGAATAGAATATTAATGGTTAACAAAACTTATGTGGCAATTTAAAAAGTTCAGCTCCTTACTGAAGCTAGAAAAACTTTGGTTGCAGCMATAAAATCTTCAGTCTTTCCACCTGCACATGAGCCAATATATACCCTGTCTATTTTTACATCTTTGCATTCTCTTGCTAAAGCACGATTCTCAGGAGAATGTAGCTGCAAAAATATGGGAAAAAAATCTATGTTACTATAATATTGGATACAGGTATGATGTAGTGCATGAATGAGAGAATAAAATAATGTAACAAAATTCAAACAAAGGGAGGAAAGAGGGTTGGGCTAAGCTGTAGGGACTGTTAAACACTGATTGTAATAATTAATAAGAAGTTAACTGCCAGAGAGAGAGAGAGAGTATTCCATTTCAGAAACTGATGTGCCAAAAGTTATAAAAGCTAAAACCACACCTTTGCCACCAATGGTTCCAATTTCGAGACATCAAACCTGTACTCAGATAAAAATCTAGAAACCAAGTAATGGCTTTGTCAATCTTAGGTAGAAGAATAACTGAATAAAACAATTTAAGAGAGATATTGAAGGACATAATTATGACTAGTTATATTGGAAAGAAGCCAGCATACATGTGCTATACCTTATTAATAGGGTATATGGAATAATGGAAATTCTTATGGTCTCTTTTTTCTCTTGAAAACCATATAATTTATTTTATACAAGAAAAATTATTCATTTTTTCACCTTAGCAAGTTGAAAACCGATACATTTCATATACTTCAATTTTAGTGTCTATTCCAACATTCAGTATCTGACACCTTGTCCTGTCATATAATTGCTGTAATTGGACAATGTAGCATAGAACACATTGTCCTGGGAATGTCCTCTTGTTAACGATTAGTTACTTTAAGTCTTGAAGATGGACATAGCAACAGCAGTATAACTTTTGAATGAATTCTAACTTCAGTCTATGCTACTAATATAATACCATGAACTATGCTGCCAAGATCTGGTCATTTGGGTCCAAATTATGATATATAAACAGATATTACAGATGGGCTTGACACATTTCAGAGATTTGAATAGTTTGCAGGCATAAATGCTATTGGGAACTTGGAAATCAAGCCCTATTTGGAGTAGGTAACAGAAATTGGGCCCATATAAATGCCTGAATTGTGGATACAAAAAGCAAATATGAGAAAGTAGGCTTGGGTCATTTCCAAGATTGCAGACCCACTTGATATACTTCAACCGTTCAACATAAAGGAAAAATGAACTGTAAGCCCTCAAATCACAAAATAAATAAATAAATAAAATAAAATAAAACTGTCAAAAAAATGGACATAAGTGATGGAAATTGTTCAGTAACTACCAAAAAATCTAACTAAATAAAATTCATTTTTGTACTTTGGAGTTTGGGATTACATGCTCTCTTCATTAGTTCTTGATGAATACTCTCTAAAATGAATACATATACAGAAATATAACAGAGGAAAGATAAACAACCACCTCATGATATAAGTAGGAAATAAAAAGCAAAGGACAGATTATCACACTCATGGACAATAAAATAGATAAAAAATTAAAACCTGTATTTGTTTTTTCCTTTTTCTTTTTGATGAGTAAAAAACAAGTTTTTGTTATACCTTGCATTATCATCACTTTTACAGTGGTTCAAAAGCCACTGATGTCTTACCCTGTGAAGAACGACATCACAATAAGCTTAAGCCACATTTAGTTTACCAAGCACCAAAAAGGAAAGAAAGACCAACTCTTGCATTGCAGGATCAAATATATGTCTTGTTTCAAAAATAGAACCATTGATCCAAACATACTTGATGAACCAATTGAACTAACCTCAAGATACTTATATGTAGTACTGTCAGCAGGAACAACACCATTCTTTCCCCCAGCTTCAACGACCATGTTACACAATGTCATCCTTTCTTCCATTTTTCAAGTGGAGCGAAAAAAAATTAAAAAGCCATGTCCAGTAGCTTCCAAAAATATACACTTTAAAAGGGTGCTTACAGTAAAGCTTTCAACAGTAGAGCCAACAAATTCCATGGACTTATATGTTGCACCAGACACAGTTATTTCACCAATAATCTACAACATAAATTCCATTATGTCAGAAAAAATATCATCTGTAACAGTACTCAGTTCCATTCAATATACTGAACTGAAAGTGAGAATATTTATCACACCATGTTGCAACCGGGGGGGTTGTTCCAGAAGAGGGGAAAAGTTATTACAGTAATTCATTGAAGTGGTATTTTAGGAAACCCAACTTGCAAAATTAAGTCCTTAGCAAGCAAATAATTGGGCATTTCACCTTCCATTAGAAATCTCAATGTTGGGGGTACCTGCAATTTGAACATCTATGTTTAAGTCTACTAATGAATATCCACTTTTTCTTGATCAGTAATATGATCAGAAACTTAAAAATAATAGAATAAAATGTACAAACAATGATAGAACAAACATCAAGTTCAAACACCCTATGGCTAGTCGGCACACCGGGCTGTCATTACACCAATCCATATTATTCCACCTTCCCATTTCCCACTATTGTAGTATAAATGTATAATAGCAGGTCCATTGTAGATCAATTCCCTATAAATGAGTGAAGAAATAGAAAAATGAAAATGTTGTCATTGATCTTTCATAAAATTTCTTGTTATTGATCAAAGAATAGAAAAAGAAGAAAATAATAGAAAGGTAGCACTGCAATTGACAGGAAATATTTGATCCAAAATAAATGAACAAAGATTAAAAATCTTGACCCAATTTTGAATAAAACAAAACTATTAAACTAACAACTGTTGATCATTTTTCTTTGTCCACAAGACAATTGTCATAGTAAAAAAAAGTAGGGTGTAAATGGAGCAAATTGTGAATCAGTTCATAACTGCATTCAAATTCGATTCAATATCCAACAGATCCTTAGAGAGGCCAATCGAATTCAAATTTGACCAATTAAATCAAATATCTGATTCTGAATCAGATCAAATTATCTTTTACCATTATACCCTTTATAAAATTAAGAAATAAGTCTCTGTACTATAGTTTTATTAGAAAGAATAAAGGGTATTTAGGTCATCTTATATATACTGATGCTATAATCGGTTTGGATATTTATGGGATTGAATCAGACCATATTCATGACCCAAATTCGACAAGTTCTGTATTCAAATTATCTGAATTTGGTTTGATTATGTCAAAATCTCACTCGAATGGGAAATCAGATATTCAGATACTGTTTACACCACTAGGAATAAGTTATTTCAACAAAAATGAAATAGTAAGACACAAAAAAAGCGTGTATTCGCATACCTTCAGAAGGAGCTTGCCAGTGCCCATCACAAAACCTGCACCAGTGTTGCCAATTCCAGTAGCAAACTGCCCAAAAGCTCCAGCATTACAAGTATGGGAGTCTGTACCCAAAAGTACCTGGTGGGTGGTTCAAAAGGTCAAAACAAGAATTGAAACTAAATGTATCTATCAACAATTTAATTTTTGGTGACTCCTTGATTAAAAAGAACACCTCCCCTGGCCTGCAATGGCCTTCTTGTGCAAGAGCTATATGACATACACCTTTATAGTCTGGGTTCACCTGCAGAATCATTAAGGAGAAACAGGAGCACAATCTAAAGCAAGTGAATAAACTCTTTGATAGGGAAGACTTGATATCAAACTCAAAAAGAAAAACAGATGATACTATAGAACCATGCCTTGAAGTTACTGCGATCCTTGATGTCATAGAAGTATTTGATATTTTGCTCCAAACAGAAACCCCTCAAGACATCCAAATTGCGATTTGCACGTTCATCACTAGTGAATATATAATGATCAGGTATAGCAACAATCCTCTCACGGTCCCAAACCTTCCATTTTGAATCAAAGGTTCAGATTCATGAGATTAAAGAAACTGAAGACATGATGCCATTAACTAGAGAAATATGCAAGCTTTTGAACTCAACTACAACACTGCAGTAAACTGGAAAATCATTATCTAGTAAGAAATGTTGGTCAAATTCTTGTTTCGACGACAATCTTGATTGAAAACATTAGTTACCGATGGAAAAACAGTTCGATTCAGTCTTTTTTTTTTTTTTCAAGGTGATGCATGAAGCTAATAATTATACACCTTTGCATTCTCTCCGAACTCCTTCTTGAAGTTTGAGATCGTCCCCGGCCCACCGACGTCATGGGTCATGAAGACATCCACGTTCACCTAGACAGTCGCACCTGGACTCAGTTGGGATTTCTCGGATGCCCTTGCTAAAATCTTCTCTGTCATTGTCATTCCAGTTTTCACCTGAAATCAATTTAACAACCAAACGAATGACTTTGACAAACCATTAAACGAAAGAAAAAGAATGAGTGAGTTGGATATAAAGAAGACGCAGAGGAATAGGAGAGAAACCCAACTGAACCAGTGGTCGAAGGGTCCCTCTCTGACTGCGTAGGCGACATGACTGCAACAACTGGCGTAGAACTTTTTTCCTGCATTTCTGAATGCAGAAAGGTGATGGAGATACAGAAGGGAGACCGGATTCTTTCTGAAAGCGGAGAAAAAACAGTTTATCAGCAGTGAGCTTGTAATATTTTCTGTAGAAACAAAAAGTAGAGGAACGTATATACAGAGACAAGCTTTCTGAACAAAGGTATGGAATTTGAAGCAGTTGCAGAGGAAGCCATGGATGAGGGATGCTTGAACAGTGTCTCTTCTTCTTTGTCGTCTGATGTTTTTTGTTGAGGAATTGGGGTGAGGGCGGTGACTGTCTGACTGATGAAAGTATGAAACAAGAAAGGTGATGAAATTAGAGAGAAATTCAAAATCGATCAAGATGAGCAACATGATTTCTGACCGTCTGATCCAGTCTAATTAGATTTAACTYTCACGTATATGTGCCACTTGACATTTGGATCAAGGTATAAGACAAATCTAATAATGTCAGCTGTAATTTGTTGTCTGGCTTGAATTTTGAAGATAATGCAAAAGAAGGGCTTAATGGTTATTATATGGCAGGATTCAGCCATCATAGCCTTGCATTGCGAATATCTTCCCATGAAATAAAGTATAAAAGTGCGGAGATAATTTCGTTGCAAGGCTGCTGTTCGAACAGTATTTGAATGGATTTTGCTCTGACTGAAGCCGATCTCGGCCAAGTTGGGATTCATTTCCCCAAATTTTTTTAAGGCTTTCTCCCTCTTTTCCATCAACAACCCAAATTTGATAATTCGTCGGTTTCTCTCTCTGATAGACGCTGGCAATCTCTCTCTCTCATCGAAAACTGAATCATGCTATTTCTCTTGAGCTTTCCAAATGCTCCAAGCAAAGTTCTGCCACATTGATAGGGTATATTCTTGGACAGGCACAATGCAGATTTTTTATTTTCATGCAGTGCTATAAACATTCAAAATGTAAATAATCCACATTTTATGCATCAACGCCAAATCTTGAATTGAAATTAATTCCGAGCTGGTATCTACCCCAAGAGTACTTTGTACCTATAAATTTTAATCCTGGATTTAACCGTCTTTCTCCAAAAAATATTAATACAGTTGATGAATGTTTTAACTTAAATCAATTCATTGAAAAAAATAAAGAAAAATCAACAACCAAATGGCCTTATTAATTGAACCACCAACTTATTTAACCCAGAAAATAGGTTATTAATTGGTTATGACATTAACTATTTTTTTTTTGTATTTTTAATCATTTTTATCTTTATTAATAATAATTCTTATTTTTTAAAAATATTTTTTTAATATGAAGAATATATAATATTATTGCATGTTTAAAAATTTTTATTTTTTGCTATTTCATTTATGACATAATAAAAGTTACTTATTTATCAAGAGGAGATGTAATTCCAACATATTATTTGAATATTGGATTTTAATATTATGATCAAATTAATTGATTAGATTAAATGGAATGTGCCCAAATTTATCTACAAATTTCTACATTTTCTAAAATTTTATGTATTTTATTATTTAATTACAACATCATGTGTTTATCCATTTGACATGGACAACTGAACCACTAACCCACCAATTGGATGGAAAAAAAAAACATTTTGCTTTGATTGATTTTAAATAATGTATTCCATTTTCATCATTATTAAATTAATTCTTATTTTTCGCATTTATTTTTGTTTAATATGATGAATATATAACATTAGAAGTGTATCAAAATGCTTTATACAAAGCATATATTTTATTACTTAGTTATGATAATTTAGATCGTTGACCTACCATCTAGTAGGAATGGCAATGGGACGGGTTCGGGGCGGGGAGTACATGCCTCATCTCCAACCCCGATCCCTAAATCACCCCCCATCCCCGTCCCTGATCCCCGACGGGGAAAGGAATCCCCCTCCATCCCTGACTCCGATGGGGATGAATTCCCCATCGGAGACCCGAATCCCCAAAACTAAGAGAGGGAGAGAGGATCGTTGGGACTTGGGAGAGTTTATGTTGATGATGACTGATGAGAGAGAATCCGAAGGGTGACAGCGACAACGACGATGATGAAGGTCAGTGGTCTACAAATCGACGACGAAGACGAAGTCTCTTCCTCAGTTCCCTGGCCTCTCCTCTGTTCGATGTCCGGCGGGCGAGTGGGCAGTGGCAACAGTCAGCGACGGCGGTTGGCAGTCGGCGAATTGGCGACGAAGACGAAGCTAGGGTTTACTGGTTTTGTGGTTCAGTCACCTCTCTTGAGTCTTCTCTATCGAAATGAAGATTGGTAACTTGTTTAGTCGAGGGTTAAGGGTTTTCCAACTTTTCAAGTTTTCTTGATTTCTTTGAATTATTTTTTAGACTTTTAGTTTTTACTATTTTATAAATAAATTAATAATTATTATACTTATAYAATATATAATATATAATATAATATAATATAATAATATTATATATAATACTAATCGGAGACGGGTTGGGGCGGGGATTGCATTCCCCATCCCCGACCGGGGATTCATGAGTAGCCCCAACCCCGACCCCACCAAGCTACCCCCATCCCTGATTCCATCGGGTTAGGGAGCCTGGGTACCCATCGGGGACGAAGAAAATTGCCACCCCTACCATCTAGATATGAAAATGGTTTCATTTTTAGACTAGCTTTAAATTTTGCATTTCATTTATGTCACTACTAAAACAGTTATTGTTTATCATACTTATTTTTACTTATATAATTAATATATAATATTATAATTGTGCCTGAAGTTGTTTAATATTTTTTATACTATTCTATTTTAAAAAAATTATTTTTAATTATACATTATGGATTAACTCATTTGACCTAAAAGGTTCAACCATTAACGCACCCCCTAGATAGGAAAATTGTTTCATTTTCCATTGATTTTACATTATATATTCCATGTCCATCATTAATAAAATTATGTCTATTTTATCATACTTATTTTTTAATATGATAAATATATAATAATAGAAATGTGTCTATTTTTTCAAATTTTCTTTATTTTGTATTTTTTATGTTTCTAGTTTTATATTAATTATTTATGAAATCAGGGAATTATCCATTTGAACCAAATGTACTTAATAATATTATTTTAGTTACAGTTTATGCCCTCCCAATAAAAATTTACTAAATTCAAAAAGAGGGTATTTTAGTAAAGAATTTTTCTCTAAAAACCCAATACCTCATTGGCACTTTTATAAGCAGTATAGATGTACATAAAATCGAATAAAAAACTTTTCAAAAGTTTAATAGCGAAAGGTTAATAGTGGAGACAAAGTGCTGAAATCTAAAGGTTGGGGTGGGTCATTGTGGCAAATGAAAGTTTTAAGGTTGTGTGACTATTCCCAAAATAAAAGGTTACAATCTCTAATTAAATGACGATAGATGAATGGCTTTTGTACATTTGAGCCATACAATGTATTTGAGTCCAAAACATATGCATAAAATGTATATCATACTTCATATAATATTGTGATATATGTATCATATGTATTGGTTGTCTAATTCAACAACCTGGACTATCAATGGGACTCTTCCCAAAAGCATCGGTTAGATAGTTAGATAGAAATGATCATGGGATGGGCCAGGCGAGGTTCACGTGGGTCTAAAATGTTGGGCTGTTGGAAACTTTCTAGCTGGGCTGGGCCAGATAGAATAAAAATGATCACCCCTAGTGTTGGAAGCACTGTTGGGTGAACTAACGTACATGGAAACACTAAATACATGGGCAACTAGAGTTTTCTTTTCCAAGTCTCATCCACACATACAAGTTTCTTTATAACTTTATATCTCCTAGTCAAATCACATCTATTACAATTTAAAACTAATAATAAGTGGTAGAAATGATGTCTAATTCGAAGTGTGATGAATAGAATAAGCAACAAATAAATCTTGTCAATTGGATGAAGTGGAGATGGAAGGATAAGGTCATACATTGAGGTATGTAAATAGGAAAGAATCAGAGGCTGGAAAATGAGGCTCTTGATAAGGCACTCTGACGCTCTCAAGTCAATAACAAGGTGATAAAGTTGGTCGAGCCGAGCTGGTCCAAGCCGAAGAAAATAGCAAGAGACCAGAGGGTTGAAGATCCTTTATCATGAGGGAGAGATGTCTTTAAATATATGAGTGTCTTTGCTATATCCAAACAGATTTTTTGCGGGGTTAGGATGCTCCACCTTTCTTGGCGAGGGCGCTTATCTTTGGGAGACTACGTGAATCCTTGTCCGTGTAGGACTGTTTCTTGCCGAGGTATTTGATGGCGAGATTATTTGTGCCTACAAGTGAGTAGTGCACCGATGTGGTTCGATGACGTCGGCCATAAAAGTGCTCACGTGGCAGCTTCAGCCAATTAAGACACTGCCCGAAACAAGAAGTAGATTCAGAAATTTGTCCTTTGAAATTGGTTGTGGCAAACTTAGGCTTTGATCTTTGTATGTAGCCCTACCCAAGGTTTGTGCTTTGGGATGGGTTTGGGTTGCTCTTTAACTCTATCAACTTATCCAATCATACCCTTATTTTATTAAAGAGATTTAAGAAAGAAAGATGAATTTAATATTTAATGTAGAGAAAGATGGTTAAAAGTGTAATTTGATTTTTTTAATTTAATAAGAAATTAAACACGTGTCAAAAAGGAGAGGAAAAGGTGTGGTTGTGATGAACATATGGACCCACCAATACAATGAATGGATTTCAAAGCGTGAGTTAAGTGGATCAAATGAACTGGAGTCAAAATTGCCAATCCTATCGTTGTACACAGAAAATTTTGGCCACATCTACCTTCAACGGTATATGGCTATGAGTTCACATCTCTGTTTCACAAGGAACCGCCYCACAGCACATCCCCCTCATGTATTAAAAACATCTGATGTGATCTCATATGCTACTCCTTCAACCACTGTATATTGCGGCAACACTTTCACGTTAATTCATGACTGGTTGTTCAGCCGAGTTTGGATCAAGTCCAGATCCCAACAACCAGTCACAACAGTCTTTTCAGTTTTGCATTGATCATTTCCCTTGTCCTCCATAGTAAGGTGTTTCAATGTCCAAGTGGAATGGTTATTATCCCCATTTGTTAAACCCTCGTTGGGATTAGATCCGACCTCTATTTAGTCCGTTAGCCACCCATCCGGCATCCACACCCCGATTTCTTATCCATGGCAAAATCTTGTCATTAGGGACCATTCACACTTGATTTTTGATCCCCTACTTCACACTTTCCCTAAAAAACTAAAACCCTATTGTTTGTTTCACATTTTAATATTTTTATCAATAAAATATTAATTATTTTACTTGATTTTTTATTTTTTTTTAATTTTAATGTTTTATCAATAAAATAATTTTTAATTTTTAATTATTTTACT